ACACACACACACACACACACACACACACACACACACACACACACACATATGTTTATCTTAATATCTCGATTATAATAATATGTCTAGGGTTGCTACAAAATGGGGTGACTGCAGCTGCAGCCCCAGCATAGCAGCCAACGCCGAACAACGCGGTCATTGCAGGCCATCGTAATTTACATATTATTGTTAGAAGAACCACGGACCGGCAGTGCTGGGATGCATAAACGTGAGCTACATGATGGCATGATGCACTTTATCGTTGCCGTTTCAATATATTATAATAATATTTGTGTGTACTGTATGAACGGTCATTGTGGTTAGGTAACGGATAAGGGCATCGATTACCCGGTGGCAAACCTTTTAGACACACTCACGCACGGTCCGGTTATTATGTATATGTTTCAGACGGGAAAGGGTAAAATGAAATTGAATTTATGATAAAACCCAAGTACACACATGTCTATTTTATATACGTTGGTACACCTCAGTACGATCTAAATCTATTAGCTTTTGAAAAGTGATGATTATAATACTACGCACGAATATGTGATTAAAATATTATTTTGATCTCCGAATTTCCGTCTTTGCGATTAGACTGCTTTGATACAGATGAGTATAATACATGACCTTACTGAAACCATCTATTTTATTATTGTTTATTAAAAAATAAAATTATCGATGAACATAATACAATAAAAATATAACTAGAATGTAAGAACTGCATAGAAATATAATGTAAATCATATTTTATGAATTGATTATTTTTGTGTTTAATAATAAAGTTGAGTAATTTTAGATAAAATTACTAGTTAAGATATAATTCACATCAAAATTATTAAGTTCATCAGTTCATTAAATTTTTGTACTCCTTCAATCATAACTTTTAAAAATCTGTGAAAAATTACTTTATGTAATTACTTGGGTTTTATAAATTTTATAGTCAATATTGCAATAACAGCTGTTAAAATGATAACGTCTTAAATATTCATGTAATGGTGCAATGGTTATTAAATAAAATAAGACTTAGCGTTATCTACTCAAATATTCGAAAAGGGAATGAATGTTATGATATAGGTACATACTTTCAGTTAAGTTTAAGAGTCCAAACACAATAGCTAAATACATTTACATTTAAGACCATAATCCATAATCTGATCTGGTTTCTTTTTTTAAGATAACTTTTTTAAAAAGTATGTAGCCGTGACGAAGCAGCCATTATTAATTTTGATCAAAATTTCCCTGGAATAAATAAATACATTTTTATATATTATTTTTTAAGCGTAAACTTATATGTTATAGCTATGTACATTAAGAAATTTAATAATGTGTTTTTTAGTATTCTAAATAATTAGTTAAAAATTCTATAAATTATTGTTTAAAATCATTAAAATATCATTATTACTATAATTTTAAACTGAGATTTTTCTGATAAAAATAAATCGAATTGAATTAATACACAAAATTACTTTTTACTCAATAATATATATTTATTGTTTTACAACAGACATTTTGTACTTGGAATGTGTAATAGGTCTCATCACAAAAATTCATATTTATTCAATAAATGAATAATTTATTAAATTAAGTATAATTTATACTTCATAAATATTTTTCAACTATTAGCGATTAATTAGAAACTTTTGAGTTGCTTTTCTCCATTGTTTCGAATTTCGGTGGATATATAACTGTGCAACTTTTGAACAGTGTATCCGTGTTTAACTTGTAATCATTTAATTCATTTTCGTTCAACTTATAGAAACCATGTGGATGTTGTGCAATCCAACGTAGTTCTTCTATAATTCCTTTAGTTCTGAAATTACCATGGGTATCTTTCATTACTCCTAAAATCTGAAATCACAGTAACAATTATTATTAAAAAAAAAAAAAAAAAAAAAACCGTGATTTCATATCAAATCGATGATATATGTCATTTAAAACGAAAAATTAAATTATCATTACATATTTATTATTCACTCTCAGGATTTCTCAATATTGTTACTTGTAATTTATTTTTTTATTTAATAGATACCTATTTATACTATATGCAGAAAATAAGACCTGAGTCGACTATCATCGAGTCTATATCCGTTAATTTTTATTTTTTTCTTCTTAATAATTGCTTTAAATTATTCAAATGAATAGGTCGTTAAGATGATCATAAGTCAGCCAGGTGCACATATTAATTACAGCGTAATTGCGTCAGGGGATTTGAGGGCCGTAATTTAAGTATCTTACGATGCTATTCGCGTGCGTTTTATTAACAAACTATATTATTTGGGTAACTTAATGTATCTTATTAGACACTGTCGGTTTAATAACTTCACTGGGGTTGAATTAAATCGTATCTGCTCAAGATTATTGCTGTGTTGTCGTGTTGAGCTACATGTTATTATTATTATTAATATTAATATTATTATTACTATTATTATTCGCTCTGCCTGTATAGGTTTGTCGTTCATATAATATACGTATTAGACAAAGATTCGAAGACCAAAGTGTGTACAGGGCGAGAAATGATTAATGACAATTGACTATTATAATAATATACTACATTACTTCGGAAATAAGCGTACATCAGTATTTATGAAGTAATTAGGGCATTTCAGTGCGTCGTAATTAATGAGGGACCATGAGGGGCTGCAATAAAACACATAATATACCGTAGGTGGTTCTTATTTTTAAATACTCGAATTTAAATGATGAACCTATTTTGTTATTATTAACCATGACCTTCTTGTAATTTCATCTGTCTAACGAAGTTTGCTAATTTCAAATTATTTGAATATTATTTTGTACTTCATATTATTGCAAGGTTATAACGATTATAACAATTATAACGAAGTTTTTTCTCTTAAATCCAAAATAAAATTGCTATAATATACTATCGTAATAACAAAAATAAAATACATTCTTTTTTTGTAGTTAAACGTTTTCTTCTACAAATGGTTTAGGAATGTTACCAGTTAGATTTTTGTTTTGAAGTATCCGTAAAAAGGGTTTTAATACAAGGTCAAAAAATGTAAATTATTTAAAATCCCATTTAACCAATTTAATACAGGGATAAAAATTCGGATGAAAAATTACGGCATAATAATTTTATAAAACGACTTTTTAATGAGTTTGACAATTATATTTTCTTTTTGTTCTTCGATTACCTTCCAACTAATTGATCAGTCAGATATATTTATTACGTTAAATTCAAGTTTTTTTTTAAGATACATGACATTTATACGTATATTATTTCAGTTTACATATAGATAGATACAGTAATGATTTTTTTATTGTAGCTATCGATCAGAAGTTTTTTATTTAATTTTTCTCTGCTAAATCTAAATAACCTAACATTTATAAATGAACTGAATTAACTGCCGTGCTTGTTTTTATAAAAAGCTAAAAGAAAAGAAAAAAAAATTTAAAAAAAAGTATTTAAATATTTGAATACATTTGAAGACTAAATGTCTTTGACTAGTAATCAATGTACACCATACGCAAAACGAATATCACGTTAAGTGTTGAATATCAAACAATATGCGTATGTATACATAGTTACTGAAATTTCTTTTATGTTATACTTTGTGACGTGTGAAAATTAAATTAAATTCAATGAATGATTCGCGTGTGATTCAAGAGAAATGCAATACAAACATTATGTTTTGTTTTGAACAACGTTTATAATATTATAATACTTGTTTATGTTTGTTATGGACAAAAATATCTTAAGTAATCGTAATCTAAAGTTAGTGTTATTGTATTGCCCGAGATACTACATATTATGCATACAAACCAAATATTTTATTGTACTGGCAACTATGTTCAAAATACGATTATTTACGTAGTTGCGTTAGGAATAGTTCATAATTTCAAGCACGTTAAAATAATATAGATAGCAAAGGCTGTTATGACGTAATAGTTCTCAAGCGCTAAGAAAGAAAAAAAAAATCCCAAATGGATGATTTATCAACAATGTATATACTTATAGTATTTTTATCGGGTATCATTTTCCATTTCTGTTACAATATAATAAATTGTAGACGAAAAAATGAAATAATGATAACTTATTTTTTTTTAAAAAAATAAATAAAATAAACGTTATGATAAACTACGTCGAAATATTTTATTTTCTACCTCATTTACATTTATAGTTAAAACGATTCTGTCCCTCAAAGTATAATTTGTCAATGTTCTTTGTTATTATTATTATCTTTATTATTCTTATTTTTTTTTCTTTGAGCCATATATACTTATCTGCATGTATGTAAAATAAAATGATTAAAATATTTTAAGTTTTTACTTACGAAGTCCGACCAATCACAATATATTTATACTTACTTATATATGCATCTGTGTTTAAAAATATGAACCGATTTACGAGTTTTGTCAAATATAATAGCTAATATAGTTTATTTTCATCGATTCTAAATATTAATTAATTTTTTACAAAATAATTTGAATAATTATTTCTTTATTTTATTCTTTGATTATTTTGTAATAATACTAATGCACTAATACTATGCACTAAAGTTTTACCAATAAATAAATACAATATTTTAATTTAAAGCAAAAATGTTTTATGACTACAAGAACTTTACATTGCAAGAAATGATCTAGAAAGAAAAGTAACAACATAATACATGTATTGTGATAATTTGATTATGATTTTATGATTCGCCGATTCTAGATTAAATAAAATATCATTCATGATTTGTGTTTGCGTGATTGTGAAAACGATAGAGTTAACTAATAATGAATTATAAAATACAAGATATTTGTTGTCATCATAAATTAAGTTTGAAATAACAACAAGTGTATTATTATCTGAATAAGTTTTCAGAGTTTATTGGTTCCGAAAAGAATTTCGTTCCATCAAGATATAATATATATAGACATTTATGGTGGTATTGTCTTGAAACAACTTCATTGTCATAAACGAATATTTATATATTATATGTACATTTGGATGTGTAGTGTAGTAGAAGGAAACAAGTGCGTCATGGTTTTAGTCGCTAACGTAACCCGTTCACAAGCTTTGATGCGTATAGGAAAGTCGAGAAAAGATTTTCTTCCCTAAATTATTATATATTTCACAGAAGTATATGTATTTTTGCATGATTTTTACGTTTTTACTATAAATTAAGTTCATATGATCCCCTAGATTTTTATTCTTGTCTCAATATAATCCGTAAAACTTGGTTTCTAACTTGTGTTTACGTTTATCTTTGGAAACAGAAGCACAGTAGAAAAAAAATTAATATTTTATGGTTGTATTAATTTCGATCTTTAAAATATTTTTTGTTCGTTCGTAACAAACGATCGTTTACTGTTGTAGATTTAAAATAATATTTTACGAGTTTTCAAACAGTCTGTAGCTTCTCCATTTTCACACTCAGGAATCAGTTAACGATAATAGTTAACGAATCAGAGAAAATACTGTTAAAATAATTTTGATTTTTTAAAATAACGTTATTAGAGTTCAATTCCTGTAAGATTTTTTTTTTTCTTAAACAAGGAAATTAATAATACTTTGAGGTAAAAATTATAAATTATTAAAATATTATACAATCAGTTCAATATTCCGCAATTCAATTAACATACCATTAGATACAAATATAGTAAACGGTGATAGAGAAATTTTTCTTTATTGCGTACCAATTTTTTTTTTTTTTTAATTTTCAAATCCATGATGTTCGAAAAAAAATTATGAACTTTTATACTGTTCTCGCATCATGCCATAAACTTCGTATATAATGTTCTACCAAAAAACCATACCGTCAACAACGAAGCACGTGTGCACACACACACACACACGCACAAGCACGAACACAAATATATGTATACAAACGCGACCTGTTTTTCCATATCCTCGGGTATGTCGGCCTTGCCGTTGCGGCCCAGCAGCCAAACGATATCGTCGATTTCCGGCTGCCCGGCCCCGGCCATTTGGAGATCCTTCACTACGCGATCGAGCACGGGCATCGTTGCAGCGTCGACGCCGGTGTACCGTTTGCCCTCCATCTCGTCGCCATGCAACACCACATTGTACAGTGCCAGCCCGATGACCTCCTTAATCGCGTTCTGGTATTGACGAGCCGTGCCTAGGTTGGTGAGCTGTCGGCTGTACAGGAACATCATCTCATGCTCCGGCCGCACGTCCTTGCCCAGCAGCCTACTCGTCGATCCCAGCACGTTGGACATTATTCGGCCGGTCGAGTCCACGACCGTTTTAAGCGGCGTCACTTGGCTCACCGCGTTGCCAACTGTGCCAACGATCTTTTGTGTCATAATCTGTGAACCGTCCATCATCATTGACGGCATCCTGCAGTCAGAAAGGATTTAGGGTTGGTGAAGAAGGTGATAGTACATGAGTTCATAAACACACTACCGACGATTGCTTCTGCAGGGTTGGGATTAAAAAAAAAAAAGTCCGTGTTCAACCATGTGGACATGTATGAAATCTCTTTCTAGTGGTTTTCGGAATGGATTCCTAATCTAACTTAACAGTCGCGGTATCTCCTTAACGGTAGTTGTAGATCCGACTCGTGCAACATATTATTTTTCGCATAACCGTTAGTCGAATCCGTAAACGTTTTTATTGAAAGGTTTATGTAACTTCGTACACAGCACCTTGTGAGTGTATATTGATTCCCTTATGTTAACATTCTTACTAGTACCTACTTTGTTATGTATAATATTATAATAAACAAATAGTCTAGGTATAGAAATAAATAAATAAATACATTATTTGTTTATTTATTTATAAATGATTTACGATTTTGGCTTTTATTATTTTATTATATATATTATCGTTTGTATACATCGACGAACACGATTATCGAAAGTGGAATAATATTTCTTTCAGTTGAGGTAGTTAATATTTTTTTTATTTTTTATTTTTTTTGCTACGTTGACAATATCATGGATATGGGAGTGTGTTATTTAGATATTTAATTAAAGTTGTACATAAATTACAATTTTACAAAACGATTTGTGATAGTAATAATCGTTTTGATCTCTATTATAACACAAACACACACACACACACACACACACACCCACACACAGATAAATACACTAAGACTTCCGAAATGGTCACCTCTAAACAACGATAATTTTTTTTGGACTCTTCAAGTGCTTCGGATAAAATACAATAATACACCTATACAGCAAGCACTCTAAATATCGATCAAAATATAAGATAAAGTGCTTAGGTAATAGAAATATGTACATATAAAAATGTAAGTTGCGTGGCTCGCCCAAATTATTTGTGACAGTATATAGTTATTTTATCAAAATTTTACGATTACGCTATGAACAATTGGGTCTGTGTATTTTATTGTTTTGTTAGTTGTGGTGTCAACTGAAAATGTTTTGAAGTGAGTGGTTATGATGGCGTCCAAACGTAAACACCTAACTGTAGCAGAAAAAAATCAAGCTTTTAGAATATTATGAAAGAAAACATGGGAATGCGCGTGCTGAACGCATATAAATTTAAAATAGGCAGAACTCAAGCCACCGATTTAATAGAAAATAAAGGTATGGACTTTAAAACTATAAAAAATGTAATGGTAACGATGTAATAAAAACTATAAAACGTCTTAAGACCAATATTAATTAATATCAATGATATTGTGTACGAATTGTTTTGTGAAAAGTATTTCAATCTGACGACCAATACTCAAAAAGATTGTAGGTAAAACAAGTAAAGAATTTTGAATTTTAAATGTTAAAACTTCAAACGATTGGCTTAATAAATTTAAAGCACAGTATAATATTTCTTTTAAGGTTGTTTGTGATGAGAGTAAATTGGTTGATTTAGAAACAGTGGACGAATAGTGTATAAAAGTTTAAAAAAAAATGATTTTTTTTTTAAGTTGTAATTCTGGTGAAATCTAAAAAAAATGGTCATGTTATGAATTAACTTGAAAAATTGATAAATTTGAAAAACCTTTAGTAATATGCAATTCTAAAAATTCCGTTGATTTATTTAAAAATGAAGACATAAAACATCTTCACGTACATTAAGGAGCAAATAAAATAAGTCGAAAATTGTAGCTCAAATTGAAATTTATTATGAATAATAAATTAAATTACACTATATTTTCAAACATTTTTTTAATATTTTTAATTTTTGGTGAGATATATTGTACCTCAGTATAAAAACTATTTTTTTTTTTTTATAATTCCGTGAATATTTTAAAAACTAAAAATGTTTACATATTATATCTAGTAGTAAAAAAAGTTAAGTAATGATCAGTTCGAGTTCAGAAAGAACAAAGGTACTTGTTTGAAATAGTTTTGTCAAGATTATTCTCGGGGTAGTTCGTGGGCACCGACGGTCTACGACCGGGCGCACGGTGGCACGTGTTTCTCGGAAAAACCGGTTTGCGGGCGGCGTAGCCGCATAATTTCTAGAATTTTCAAGCTATCGTGCGCTACGGATATAAAAGACCGACATGCTCTGGACTCTACATAGTTTGTCAGTTACCCAGTTAGTTGTTGTAAACTAAACAATTCATCAGTAGTGATCGCCGGGATCACTTTTTATAATATTTTTATATCGCGTACTGTCGCGTTTTTTATCGGCCTCGGGCCGAACATTGTCATTTCGCGCACTGTTGCGTTTCTATACCGGCATCAGGCCGAATATTATATTAAAATAGGGTATGTCGCGTTCTGCCGACAGTAGCATTGTAATTATTAGTGTTTTTATGTTTAATATACAGTCCACTTTTTAGTTCATCAAATCGAATTGGTTTAGTATTTTATCGACATTATTATTACCTAACCAGTCTCTCACAGGTTCTATACACCCGCAAATCTTATACCCGGATATAGTCGCCAACAATACTAGAGAGGCAATCTTAAGTTTAAGAATATTGATAGAAAAATAAATATAATTTTATAACGACACATTTATAGCTGAATTACTTCTACAGAAGTTCTTGCTTTTTCTCAAAATATTAATATTTCACGTATAGCGAGACGAGCACTTTCGCGTTTGTTTGATTTAACAACTCGTAAATTGTAGAAATAATCTGATAGAGCCTACTTAATGGACGGAAATTTATCACCTGTAATTTGATTGCATTCATTACCCAATAAATAAACATTATATTTTATTTTCTAACATATCATATTATAAATTCACGAACATTTTTTTTTTAAGAAAAAAAAAATTAATACAAACACTATTAAAAACAAGTGACGTCTGACGGCTGTTCAAAAACTAATCTCTAGACTAGAGAATTTTTGTTGTTTAATTTACGTAAACAATACGGTAAGAGCCGATACAAATAATACCTATATAAGTTGCTTTGATTTATAAAAATAACGTTTGGAGATATGCAAAAAATTATAGACAAAGTTATAAATAAATAAACAATACAAATTGTAATATATGTTATAATATTAAAAAATGTCAAAAAGACAGTTTTTAAATTACTAAAGTTAATACATCTCACCAACAATTGAAGATATTAAAAAAATTCTAGAACAAAAATTACCGCAAATATAATTTAATTTAATTTAGTTTCCGTAATAAATTTCAATTCAAACTACAATTTACGACATACGTAATAGCAAATATTTCAGTTCAAATAGGCACAGGTTAACTTTATTCAATTGATCTCATACTTTGTATGGTTTATTTTTGTATGTATATACACTGTTTTAGGGGATGAGATGAACTATTTTTTGAACTTCAAATTTAAGGACCACCCTAATATATATATATAATACAAATATCACTATAGTGTTATTTACTTACTAGCCGATCTATCACGGCTTCGCCCATGATTAAATGTTTATTTTGATTTCGAGCGATGATTTGTAAAATTTTTTATTATTTAATGAGATCAGCAAGCTAGTTTATTTGCTTTTTTCTGTTACGTTTATAGACAGTTAATGATTATGAGACAAATAGCATTCATTTGCAAAATGTCAATGTTTATCTAAAAGTACTTGTATATTAAGCACGTAGGAACGTGACTAGGATGTTTTTATTACCTCGCTGTTTACTCATTCTCGTTTATCACAAAATGTATTTTGTATTCAATGACGTAGTATGAGTTTTTAAATATTAAGCCATTTCAATGTTTATGATCACTATTGATATATTTAAGACTTTGATTACAGAATATTGCCTATAGAAATATAATTATTATTACATATTTCGAAATCGTCATACATATGTTGAAGTTTAAATAACTTGGTAAATGTAATTTTTAAAATAAAATTTGTGTTACGTTACTATCTGTTAAAGAAATATTGTTTAATTATATTTTTAAAAGAGTGCAATATTGATTTTATTCAGTGAAAAAAAAATAAGACAATTTTTTTGAAATAGCTAAGCAAAATGTAAAAAGAGTTAGTAAATCGGTCAGAGCTATTTAATAATAATATTTGATAAATTTTTTGAATTCAGAATCAACGGTTTATAATTGATATTAAACGTAAAGTTAAATATTATAAAATTGGGTGGAAAAATGTATCTTTATAATTATTTAAACTTAAGTTGTGGAATATAATAAAATAAATGTAACAAACGTACATATTTTCGAAGTTTTGGTATAAAATCATTAAAAAATGTATGCGTAATAAAAATAAAAGGGCAAAAAAATAAGCTTGCGGATATTTTAAACGTAACTATGCATTTTATATATGAAATAAATGTGTGTTTTATTTTATTTTCATTAGATTAAGTATAAGACAAATTAGGTTTTGTATTTTATCTATATTATCATGATCGTAACATCGTGATATATAAGTATCGTTAGATACAAGGGCGCCCATATTTGGGGGGAAAGGGAGGGACACCCCCCCCCCCCCCCCCGGAAAATGTCAAAAATCTTGAAAAATTGTTTACTATGATCAGAAAATATTTATTTAAATAGAATTTAAAAACTGAATTTAATATATGAAAATCTATAATTTGTTTATGAAAAATCTATTTATTTAGTTTGGAAAATCAGGTTAACAGCTATAAATAATAATACGCTTTTTCGTTTCTATTCTATGGATGATTATCAATTCTTAAAATATTGAGTATTTCCAGAAATACAGTATATATATATATGAGTGTGTATGTATACACAACCATAATATTTATATAATATTTGTAAATTAATATTTTAAGTTCCAATTTATATTATTAATTAAATAAATTTCAATAAATTACTTTTATGGTAAATTGGTTAAATAATAATTATTTTATAGTCTTCCAGTTTGATATATATATATAATGTAATAGTATAATTTAAAATTGTAAACCCTTTTCTATATCATGGGTTATTCCTTTTTATGAATAGATTGATAAATTAAAATGTTGTCCCCTCTTTTAGAATTTTCCTATGAGCGCCCTTGGTTAGATATTTAAAAAAAATCATTAAACCCGCTGTACTTTGTTATCTTAATTTATAATATATCTTAGACATTAACAAATTTATAAATAAAGTAAGCATAAATTTACATAAACATTTTTAGAATTATTAGAAAATGATAGCGTTATTTTTATTATGACTAATGTGAAACATATAATAAATATATTATACGTATATTTTAAAATAAATTTAATTTATAAAATAATTTAAAAGATTTCTTAAAGCGTAAAACTTTTTTTATGAATTTAAATAGTTTAAGTCATTTAAAATCCATAGTTAATAAATATTTTTAAATTCATATAATTACATTTTATAGTATTTTATAATAAATTATAAATACTTGACTAGACTTCGAGCTGCTGATTTTGTTAGACTTTTACTCCATTCAAAAGCGCTAAATCCATTGACATCTACAGCAAGAAAGCTGACTGCAACGAAAGCCAACTGAAACATTGAATTCAATGAAACTACAAAAATATAATTTATCAAAAAAACTCTCGATAAATCTGATCATAAGTTATAAATGATAAAATTTTTTTTTTCTATATTCTTATATATATTTAAAACATAATAAAAATAAATGGAAAATTAGCATATTAGAGTATAAATATTTTATGATTGTTTAATTATTTCAAAAAGCATTAAACATGTTCTGAGGTCATCAATATTTTGTTTCGTTTAAACTAAAATAAAATAGTACGTAATGGATATTTTATAAAATATGGTTACTATTTGGGAATTTATGTATACAACAAATATATACTAATTAGTTTACGTTATTTTGGTCGGCCATGATGAGACACATGCATTATAATTTTGAGTTACATTGCAATGGCTTTTTAATATAAATAATTTTTTTCTTTCTTCTCTTTGGTTCCAGACTTTAATATCACTAAATATAAATGTCATCTATCTCTGTCTTCTGCAACTTCCCTCCATCAGATTTCTGGTTCTATTTTTCTTCACACAGTCTTCTTACAGCAACATTGTTATTACGCTTTAAGGTATTTTTTCTATAGTATTTTTCAATCCCTTTTCTAACTAGAATCTTACTTTTGAGAAACTAAATAATTAATATAAATTCCAATTATAATATTAAGATGCAATAGGTAGTCATAATTTTGGCCATAACTAATAAATAATTTACAAAATAGTTACAATCAACTTAAAATAAAATAGAATATAAGTTAAATTGTAATAGGATGGTTCGTTTTTATGTTGTATATATATCTATGTCGCATATTACAATAAATTATTTACGAATATATCGAATAAAATATAAATAATATATAATAATAATACTAACTGTAGGTACTTGATAATTATGACAATTTATTAAACTTCATAAATATATACAGAACACAATAAACCAATATTTAAGTAATATTTATGTTCTTATTTTAGCGTTACATTATTTATTTATTAGTTATGTTGTAGTTGTTATTATGTAATGTTAGATCAATATTTTTTAGCATTATTGAACCAATAATATATTTTAAAATCATTGTATGACACTGCATTATCACGCGACAGTGAAATGGAAAAAACTTCAACACTGTTTTTGCAATTTGTATTATAAATAATCATATTTTTTTTAAATCACAAAACTATACGTTAAATTACCTACGGAAATATAAATCCTATAGCAATTATCTCTTCTGAACCAAATGTATAAATCATTTTTCCCTATTTCTTGCCACTGTTAAAACACTGCATAACATCATATTATATATAACAAATAAATTGGTTTAAAACCGTATGGAATATTAAATGTATGTTCGTTATTCTGAACCCATCAAAGAAATGTTCTGTGTTAAGAATATTATAATTCATTTTTCAAAATGTAATTTTTCAATTGCCAGTAATCGAAAATATAATGCACGGACAAAAAAAATGTGGAATGAAAATGCTCCACAATGTCTGACATGATAGTCATGACATGAATCTGAAATCAGTTTTACACCATCCTCTCTTCATGTACATGTACAGCGGTACGTGGTTTATATTTACTACTAAACGAATAATGCATCTTGTATGTCGGATAATTGTTTTAACAATTGATTCGAAACTTACTGTTTTATAATTTGTTGGAATACTATAATTCCATAATAATAAAAAAAAAAAATTAAGAAAAATAATTATCACTCCAAGAATTGGACTACACTTAGTGGTGTAATATCTTGCAATTTTTTGGTGACTATCGATATCTCAATCGAACAACTGAATCCGTACGATTATGGATAATACTCGTAATAATTTATACTAAGGCTAAACTAATTTCATATCGGTACGTACTGAAATCAGTTGAAATAATTTTTCGAACGTCTCTCGTTATACATTGCATGTACAAGCTGTTAAAAAAAAATAAATTTTACAGTGTTCGTTTAAAGGAATATGAGAATACAATTAAAAGGAAGGGTTTACATATGTTTCAAATAAATCACGGTATTCCATTTGAGGTTAGAAACATAGTATTTTGTTGAGTTGATAACTGATAATGCTACGGCAACATTGTTTATTAAAGATATTGAAAATAAAGAGATAAAACTTATAGACTGGATACAGTTTTCCCTTTTTCAGAACTTTGGAATCGTTTAACATTGTATTAACATCATGTTTGTTTAGTGATGCGTAGTGGTCCTTGGATGATTTTTCCTCGATTATTTTCCACGACGTTTTAAACCTAAGATATTACGCACGATTCATTTCATCTTTAGATCGTTGCAAAAATAAAACAGGAAATGAGTGTGTTCACTTCGTCCCACTGCCGAGAAAAAATGTATACCGATTATGGTAATTTTCGCTTTTCTGTCGTGTGCCATTGAAAACTATTTTTAAATCCCTCACCATGGTTTGCCTTGTCCTCCCCACCAAGAGCCATTGAAATCCACAATTTCTTTTCTTAACCATTTTATATCATACGTTTTATACTTATCAAACGGCTTAATCGCAAAGTGAATGACGGAATATTTCAAGCGTATCGTAAATCGAAGGTAATGCACGCATAAGACTCACATCGCCATTACAAGCGACCACCGATGCATATTAAGTCGATTTCATGATATTACGAAAAGTTTCTTAGCTTCCTTATAATATATCGTGTACACAAAATGATACGTGCAACGGCACCCATGTAACGTATTTAAGCAGGTGTGAACGTGAACAGAACATTGGCAACATCTTTTGTGTACGAAAAGCTCGACCGACGATTTACTCTTACATGAAAAATAAAACTCTTCAAATTGTTTATAGAAAATGAGTCATAATACTATGTGCCGTCCAACATTCTGCTCACTTTCCGTTATTCACACCCGAATACACGCAAAAATACAGTTCATTCACCACATAGTACAATATATGAGCGTACTTATGGTCCTTAACTATAGCGTTATCAGTGAATTGCGACCCGACTTCTGAATAAAGTCTAAATAAAACACGAATTTCGGTCCATGCTTTTTAGTTGGACGTACGAATTGTGGCTCGGGTTTATTAGAGTTATGTATGAATTTCGACCACACAATAATCTGTATATTACATATATAGTGCATATACTTATATAATATATATTAGTGATGGATTGAACCTGATTTTTCGGTGTCGAACCGAACTTGAACCAAATGTTGTCAAAATATTACGGACCCGAACTGAACTAATATAACTATATAACTAATATAAAATTTGAACTCATCATTCTTTTTTTTTTTTTTTATATAGAAAGATTGAGATAATGAAAATGTTACTTACATTGTACAAAATTTAATACATCTAAAAAATAATTATAATAATTATTTATTAACATCCAATGCTATTGTTTCTGATAAAATTTTTAAAAATATAAGGTACAAAAAACGTTTATTTTTTTCCTTTTCACTTTTTCAAAAATAGATTTGTGGTTTTGATCATATTATTACGTATCATATGAAAATTAATCTGTGATAATATTATCTATAGATATTTACAAAAATAATCACATGCTTCAACATAGAATTATTTTATTTTATCATACCTAATCATAATAATATTAAAAAAAATAGTTAATATTACTATGACACTTACTATAAACTATAAAGTATAGAAAATTCATTTTAGATTGTTCGATTAAGAATATTTTCAAGTTCAAATTTTGAATATACCTAATTGGTAAATAGTTCTGGTCGATTTTCTTTAATTTTGAGTTCGGATTATGAACCGAACCGAACACCTAGTTTTCAGTTAGGTTCGTTTTCGACCCGTCACTATTATATATAAAAAAAATATTGAAAGTAATTTAATAATTTAATCAAATATTTGATAAATATTGAAATCAAATTAATAATATAATATTTCACATTTCAAATGTTCGTGTGAATAATATTGTTTTATCGGTTTTAGAAAATAATGTTAAAAAAATAAAAGTATTCGCAAGTAATAATATAAATATAAGGTAACTAACATTTTATTTGATTTTATTCAATATATTAATTTGAAAAATGAATTTTACTATTTTTAAATTATAAAGTGTTATGTTCCTTGAGTTTAATTTAAAATATTTATGCTACAATCCATATTTTCGTGGTCTCTTTATATTGAAATGATTTGATTTTATAGTTTATTATATTTATAATTTCAACATTACCGTGAATTTAGTTAAAAATATTTAATGACAATAGTGATTCTTTGGTTCATTACATATTTAATTTATTGATTTTAATTTATCTTATATTTGTATTATCTATGTAAATAAAGGTGGGTATAATTTCTTTTATAGCTTTTACTGATGGTCTTAAAAATTAAATTATAATAAATTATTATAACATAACTTTAAACATGAATTGTTTACAATGTTTACTCCAATCGTGTAAATCATGCAGTAAGCAATTAATTGCATTGTTCTTAAATTTACCATGCCAAGTAAAAGTAATTAATAAAAGTATTAATACATTTAAATAATAAATACAATTTTTATTAGAATTAGTAATGAATATTTTTCCTGGACAATAGTAAAAGATTTAAATATTATGGAACCAAATTGTTTAACAAGAGATAATAACTTTCTTTAGACCAAATATCATAAAATCATCAACAATTTCAGTAGTGATCATGAAATTAAAACTCATGATGGATATATGTCATAAAACAATGTCTATAAATTAGAAATGTATAATTTAAAATTATAAACTTTTAATTGAAAATAGTTTAACAATGAAATGAAACAAAATGCATTAAAATGTTAATACTAGATAATGAATTTATAAATTAATTAATGTGTATCCTGGAGTATTATTAAATGTGTAATTTACAACTGGTTTCCAATTGTAAATTCATCATCAGATATATACAGAGTAAATAAAATCTATTAGACTATAAGTCGTGATCTAATTGACTTTGTTTATACTTGATGATGAATTTTGTTACGAAAACATTCATTCATTGCATGTATAATGGTACCCCAGGCTACCAATTTATTAATCTATTTATAAATAAAAATGATTAATTTATATATTTTGAAAATAATAATTAATACATTGTGAATAATTTAACTTGATCAGATAAACATATAACTTTATACGGTTTGAAAATTAAGGACTAATTAAATCTTATATTGATACTTAACGTTGTATCATTAATCCGAGCATCCCAACATTTCGGTTTGATTAATAACACTCGTTGAGATATTTTAACATATGATTATTTCAAATATAGCATTGGTAAGACGTTGAAAAATAAGAATTATACTATTATATTATTAATCTCGACGGAAGTCACGTTTATGCGAACGTTCGACGTGATAACAGATATATTATTTTACCTGAACAGTGAAGAGAATTTGACGTAAATTTATTCTCGCCATTATAATCGTTGATCTGTAAATTATTTGTTCTGCACTTAGTTGAAAAGTGTGTTCCAAGTGTGAATTACTTGTGCAGTTGCAGCATAAATATATTGCTTAAATGCCGTCAACAATTTCCAGGCGGCCTCTAAAAACGCAGTCATTATTTTTTGTTACTGTTGTACCGATTGCCAAATGTTGTTATGTGATATTAAAAAAATATGCATTAAATTTTAAACACACACACATATACTCAAATATAAACGTATACGTATGTACCGTTCATGAATGTAACATATGCAAGAGACAATTGTGACAATTACTATAATTGCCGTTAAGCCTAGTAACTATTTTGTACGAAACACTGAAACACTCCGAAACACATATTTTAACTCTATGCGCATCAATTAAAAACGCTCGTAATCATATTGGACACACTACCGTGGCATGTTGCAATGATTACAATTGTCATATCGTTATGTGCTGATAATGATAATGTCATAATAGCGTGGACGGTATTCAATTTTGATCGTCTTCATCGGACGAACGCTGTTCATCTGTTTCGACGGCGACAACGGCAGTACGCAACGTTATAAATTTATAACTATTATTGACGTTGATTAAAACGTGTTCAAGAGACGCAACGGTGTTCGTGTTATATTCTGTAGTAATACTAAAATCGTTTGTTCGGTAACATTTTATGCATAAAACATCGATATGAGTAGACATGGGTATAGAAAGTTCCCTGTTGACTAAATTCGGTGTACGCTAACATGGCTATGAGGAGTACTGCGTGGATAACAGTTGTTCACGTCTGGTGTACATTATCGTTCCATTATACTCATAGAACAATAACACCTATATTGATACTAATATTCGTGTAGATACATAATTCTAACAGTGCACGTACAGTTTGAAAACCATCCGTCGAACGTGGTGTCAAGTGACAAAATGTTACAAACAGTTAGAGTATATTATAGGTGGTATTTGTTTTTGTTTTAAAATCATAACTGCGCGTCGTTTTAGAATTGTTGCGAATGCAACACTTTCCCTTCTATTGTCGTATTTCCTCTAATATTAGGTTCTTTTGTCACTTTATACTTTATATATGTGTACATGTTTTCAACTATCCGGTTAGGAATAAAAATATAACATATTTTAAACAAAACAACCAATAATTGAAACTCTGTCGAATATTAAACTATCGTAATATTATTAACACTGTTGAGTTGTATATTCTATAACTATAGAACCATAATACTAACCCGCATAAATGTTTTTTAAGGGACGATAATCAATTTTGATGGTGGTTCATTATTCTACTTAATTTTGAAACAGAATAAATTTGACTCAATAAAAAAAAAAAAAATAAAAAAAAATACATATCAATATACTTTGATCTTTCACGTATTTTAGACCAATGTGGTTTTTTTCAGTGGAGATGAAATAAAGAGGACCGCGATAGTCTAGTTTAAAAAAATGCAACCAAAATAAAAATCCCAATTTGAAAAACTCCCAGCGAAGGGCTGGTTAAAAATGTGAGCGTTTCCCTTAAATCTTTCCGTCTTATTTTGAACCCTGTAAAAAAACCTCGGTAGATATATATTTATATATAAATGTGTGTGTGCGTATAAAATATTCGACATGTTTCTATGAAATTGGGTTTTTAATACACATGGGGAACTCTCTCAACAGTATGGTTTACTTTTAACGTATGGAATAAAACGGAGGGTATGTATTCTATGTGGGTTTTTTTTTAAGTTTTTTACTTTTGAAATTCATCGGTTTGTCAATTTTGTTGTAATATCAAGGAAAAAAATTTATTTCAACCTACAATGTATATTGATTTCGACTCTTGTGCAAAATCATTGTTCTGGGATACACGAAATACTAGCAAAGAACTTTATTATTATTATTATTTTGAATTTTATTTATAATAAAAAAAAATTGTATCGTTTGGACGTGATACGCGTATGGTAATGTATCATCAACATTAATAAGATCTTAACTCGAAAAATCGATCAATTAGAATGTTTAATAACTCGTTATAATATACTAATATTAATTAATAATGTAATGTACATAAGGTATGAATTGAATAGATTGAAACTATTAAATCTGTCAAACTGTCAAATATGAATCAAGCTATTTCGAAAACTAACAAAAAGTTGTATACTACTGTTATTGTTTAGATTTTTATGAACTAATATTAGATCTAATAGTACCACGAAATACAAAGTATTTTTTTTTAATTTAATTTGGATGTACCTAATTTAATTTAAATATACATTTTTTTTAAAACTATGGAAAATTATTCGAAACTCGTAGTAACAAAATAATCTTGTATAGCAAAATGATATGTTGCTCGTTTTGATAAATTTTTTACTTAATATTTTGGATTAAAATAAATAGTTCTAGTTAAAAATTATCTAAATTTTCAAAGCTATGAACATTATAATTTTAAGTAAACTATAACCAATAGTGTGTTGTATATACCTATAAGTATTATTTGTGCGAAAATGTTACAACCTAACATTTAGGAATAAGACTTTTAAAGAATGTATGAATATGATCACTTCACGGAATAGAATAATATGAATTACGATTATTATTTTTTAATAATCGTTGCAGTAGAAAAAATAGCATTTGCGATACCGTGTGTACACCCAGTTGTTAAATTATTTATGGGTTAGGATTAAATTGCTTTCTTGTCAAAAACAAACTTTGGCCATAACGAAGGGTCGGGTTAAATACATTTTTAATTACCTATATTATAATATTAAATTATGATGTAATTTTAAAATCTGAATACCATTAATATTATTATTATTTAATCTTTTGTGCATGGTTTCAACTTTTTTGCGTGGTATGGGTACTCGCTCTTCTTCAATATTAATTACAGATCCGTCACTCACACGCCATGTCAACGTACAACCTGTGATCATAAAACACCGATGCTGTGTCGTAACTTCAATGATTTGAAAGAGATTTATAAAGCATGATGTTAAAATGTTCATTTTTTGTAACATATACGTTTAAATGTAAGCACTTATTTATTATTTATTTTTACAAATACCCAATGAAGTATAGATTATTAAATTAAAACCATCACCATGCATATATTTTAATTTATTTATAATAAATATTATTATTTTAGAACATCCAGCATACATTTAATTTTTAATTTTTTTACTTTTTTTATTTTTATTTTATTTTTTCTATTTTATTAGCAATACACACAAATATACATTGTTGATATTTCATATTTGCGAGGCTATTTTTGTTAAATAAAAAAATATCGATCAATATTTACTTTAAATATATGAGTAAAAATAATGTCCATATCTTGAAAATATAATTGGTCTATTGTTTAATTTAAAAATGTTTTTGTTTTCGTAAATTTTACAAAAATAATAACTACATACATACATTTAATAATATAACTTTTTTCTGTATCGAAAATTTCATACGAGAATAAAAATGAGTTTAATGTCGAAAAATACATCATTAAAAATTTGACTCCATTAAAAATAATTAAATTTAAAATCGTTTTACAAAACGAAAATTATATTAGAAACATAATTCAAGCAACGTTTTAAAATCATATAATATTATGTCGTGAGAAAGTTGAATTTCTGAGATCTTGAGATCCCTCTACATGACGACTTTACTGTCCACCCTCCTAAAAGATTGAAATCAAGACACCCGATATGAGACCTGAAATCAACAAAAGATACAATGGTGGAAATCTAAAAGAAACGATACAAAAATTATGACGTACGGAACGCTTTATTGATAGACAACCCAGAACTGAGAGTTCCAGGTTTTGACCTCCCGTGACGTTATGGACAACTCTAAACAGAGAAAAAACAGAACAAAGGAATTGTAACTACCTAATGTACAAATGGGGAAAAGTAGAATCCCTCCTCTGTAAATGTGGAATGTATCAAACGATACACCATATTGTTGATAATTGTTCACAAACACTTTTTGTTGGAGGCCTGGAGAAACTGCATAAAGCAGAGGAAGATGCAGTGAAATGGATGGAGAATCTGAAGTTAAGGCTGTAAGGTAGCACTTCAAAAGTTACCAATACTGCCTGTAAATCCGTAACTATAATCCTATATAGTTATTGTATTAGTTTGTTTGTTATATAATCTCATAGTTTATTAATTTCTTGATCATTCTATTGTAATTGTACCTTATTTTTATCTTATTTTAATTTTATTTTTATAATCCGATAATGTCATGAGCAAAATAATAATTAAGTTGACTTTGTAATGGAAATGTTTCAACTGAAACTATTTTTCTTTCACTGCATTTTTCATAGCCTTAATTTTAAACAAGAACAGTTTTGGCTGAACGGATTGCTATATTATTTTTTGTACCGAGTTAATAACGTCATAATCCTTGTTGTTAAACAGATGAATCAATTGTTTGTATACATGGTAAATTCGATTCATGTGTTTGATGTACCAGAAAACCGAGCAGAAAACGTTTCACGTGATTTCTTTAAAAATTATTAGTTAGGTACTTAAAAACGATGTTCAGCGAGTGTAATTTACAAAATATAATGAAATTTAGAATACGTGGCTCGACAAATAACTAATGAGTAAGCAGAGCTAAGCCGGTTATGAGGCACGAGCACGCACTCGTCCGAATGCCGGAAAATTACTAGACAGTAAATATAATTAAAACTATATTTCCAAAAAAGCATACTTCCAAATATCCAAATACAACACTACCTACTCATCACACGACACTGCGTTACTGCACCAACGATAATATTATTATGACATCGTGCGGAAATTTTAAATTGAACCGATGACGGGGTACATTACCGTGTATTAATAATTTGAGTGTCGTAGAGTAAACGTAAGATGAAATATATGCGCATGCACGTGTATTTAGTATATGTGTGTGTGTGTGTGTGTGTGTGTGTATACTCGAAATCACTTAAGTTATATGACGTACAGGCTGTGGTCCGTGTCGTCAACACTATTTCATCGCAATAATTTTAATTAGAAAAAAAAGAATTTCTATTTCCATTAAAATCGTTTTATACATGGTTAGATATTTTTGTTAAAAATATTAACTAATCATACATATTTTAATAATCAAAATATTGACTTATTTTAATGACGACCCTGCATTACGAGTAAATTGGAATGATTTATGTTTTTTTTTCGTACATTTGTATAAATAATATTA